AAAGTAATTTGTTCGAACATTGCTTCTAAGATAACTCAATAACTATGTATCTGTTTTACATGATTTATAGCTCGTTCAAATGATCTCATCGAGCTGAGTCTAATGGTCTAATTTAAAACTAATTTTAACTATTAAGTTTATTGAGAAATCGATAAATACATTCAAGAAATTAACTAAGTAAATTAAATAGATAAAACTCATTTTATAACACTACTATTAAAAAATTGCTAACTTACACAAGTTGCAACTTTATTGAAAAAACAGTAAACTCATTAACTCTTCTAAAACTAATTTTTGAATATAGAATTAAAGAATAGCTAAGCAAAATCTGGTACCCAACTATCTCCAAAGAGATTATTCAACAATATAAACAAAAACTCTCTAATTTTAATTGTATTACTCACTTACTCTATATTTCAAATTATAACATCAATATTAACAACCTCAATATTAATATTTCTAATCCCCTTAATAATATTAAAACAAATCTAATTTACAACTTCCTTTCTTCAAATCTTAATTTCTCTACAATTCAAAGCCTCAAAAATAATTGTATTCTATTTCTTGAACAAATGCTTATAGCTGATAACTCCTACTTTCTACTATAAAAAATATATATCTTCGTACAAACAAGACTTCACATGGTAGAATACTATCTTAGTATACAAATCTCTATAATAATCTTAATAACAACTCTGTTCTTACAATTTGGCCTCAAATTCAAACTACACAAATAAATCTATTTATTAATACACTTAAACTAATAACTACTCCAATTACAATTTCACTCAAAAACAATTAGACAATATTCAAATCTTATTCACAAATCAATATTGGAAAAATTTCTTTTACTAACTCTAATAACTTCTTGTTTTAACACTTCACATTCATATCTAATACTACTGGCTATATAATTCTTATTCCTTCTAACCAATTTTCACAAATTTTACCTTTCTCTACTATTAATTTTACTTGCAAAAGCAAAAAAAAAAAACTTCAGTACAAAATATCTATTGATTATAAAAAAATCCTAGCATTCTCACAACTTCTTCCTTTCTTATACCATTCTATTCCTTTAATAGATCTTCAAATTTATATCCAAAATCCTATCTGCAAACAAATTACCAACTTAATCTAAATACCATCCTATCAACTTGAACTCATCAATCTCTATTACAAATTACTAAATATAAACTCATTAAATAACTTATACTTTTACACAGATACATCTATACAAAACCTCTGCTTACCAAATATAAAATCTGGTATAGACTGAATCCTTGAAAATAATATAACTATTAGATTTAATGCAAAATCAATTAATATACACAACTCTATACATATTGAGCTTGAACTAATAATTTATATTCTTCTTATTCTTCTAAATAATCTTCATATTCATGTTCACATAAACAATCTATCTGCTATTGATTCTATAAAAAAGCTTCCATACACACAATCTACTCAAATCAAAAATAAAAATTAGGATATTCTATATGTTATAAACTATCTTCTCAAAAACAAAAATATTACATTAATACTTCACAAAATTAAATTCTACTTCAAAAACTCTTTTTATCAAAATGCAGATCTTTTGCAAAAAGAGGAACAAACTACTAACCTATAATATTAAACTTTAACTTCTTCAATTCACCAACTTTTTTTACCTGGCATAATCATTTTATTCTAATACAAATAAAGAAATTCTACAAGAATATTATACTTACTGAAATTACTAATCACTTCTTACAACTTCATAATATTAAAAATATTTCTCAATTCAATCTAAAACTCTTCTTTAAAATTATTAACTTCCAAAATCTTAATTTATATCTATATTCTTTCTGACTAAAAATACTACTTAATAATCTTTCTACTATAGCTAATTTAAATCTTCGATTACCACTAATATACTTTACTCTAAACTGTTCCTGTTGTAACTCTTTTGAAAACTTAACTCACCTCTTACAATACTCTCAAACCCTTAATCTTTCTCAAATATTACTACAAACTATAATTCAAATACTCTCTCTTCTTAGTATTAATAATATCTTCTCTCAAAATATACTTTCAATACTTTCATCTCCTTCAGATGAACCGGAGGCTAGTTCACGATAGTCCGGAATTTTCCTTCCGCTCTTAGTTTGACGTTCTTTTTTTGTAATTTGCTCGATCGGGTTTTTAAAATCATCCTAAAGTATTGAAATACAAAATAATTAGTTCTGCTGATTCCCAACTTATGACTAAAAAATGCAAGTAATGTATATACCTCTTCGTGGTTTCTTTTTGATCTATTAACGTAGAGAGATCCACTATTGATCCCAACTACCGAACTATCTGTAATTTGGTGGAAGTGGATTGAAGGTCCACTGACAGATTTATGCTCCTTCTCCCATTCTCGTGCTACATGATAATCATGATAGGGTCTCTAACATAAAAGATTTGAATTAGTAATATTCTCAATTGGTATGTCTAAAATTTCTATTTAGTTTTCATCCCATCAGGTCGACGAAAAGACTTGAACACAGGCGAGCGAGAAGAGTTTCCTGTGCCCCAATAGGACCAATGCCAGGTCGGCAAAAAGTCTTGAACACAGGTGAGCGAGAAGAATCCCCTGTGCCCTAGCACCGGTTTTGTGGCTCAACGAAAAGTTTTGAATGGCAAGAAGCGAGAAGAATTCCGGCCACGCCACTTATTTCCTATTTACATTTCAACAAAAATTCTTTACTTGCCTCCTTGTACGCGTCAAGAAGTTCGCGCGCCCTTTCTTTCCTTTTTCTTTCAGGGTCTAAGTCAACAATGTTTTGAAGTGACTTAAGATACGAATCTATTTTCTTTCTAAATGTTCCCTCTTCGCATTCATTTAAAAATCCAATAATGGTCCATTCAGCAGATTTTCTATTAAAATACTCGTGTATGTGTTTGAACATGAGATGTTTTTTCGTGTAAAGTGATATATTTCAAAGTTGAAAAATTTGTTCGAGATGGACCTTCGGATTTATCCCATAGTACATGTTCCAACACCAGCGAAATTTGATTGGTGGCATATAATAGTGTCATGGCGCAAAAATTTGTCGGTCCCGTGATTGTTGCACAATCTGTTAAGTTAGTTTTCTCCTTCCCGAGAAATTATTTTGTACTACAAACTAGGTGCTTGAATTGTTAAAGGGAGTTATAAATATACTATATTGTATTATATATTGAAGAATATTGTAAAGATT